TTTTAGATCTTAAGATTTTGTCTGTGCATGAGGATGTCAATATTTATGTGGGAAAAAATGGCTTGTGATATTAAGAATATTGCAAAAGATGTACTTAGAGTTTCAAAGGGAAAAAGTCCCTAATAGTAAAAAATAGTTGGTGGTAGAAATCCAACGTGCAAGCAAAGATAAAAAATAAGAAGATTTGTTATAAAAAATTGGTTTAGATGTAAAAATTCTGATAATTGGGAAAACTATAGAGGCTCGTAAGGAAATCTAAGAAAGCTATTTGCGATGCAAAGAGTTTAGCTTTTAATAATTTATTAATAGATTAGATACTAAGGAGGGAGAAAGATATATGTATAAGTTAGCCAAACAAAGAGATAAGAAGTAATAGGATTTAGTTCAAGTGAAGTGTATCAAGGATGAAGATCAAAAAGTACTTTTCTTAGAAGATGATATTCAACAAGGTGGATGAGATATTTTGCTAAACTTTTTTAATGAAGAATATAAAAAAATGATGTGACTTTAGTGACTTTATCACCCTAAATGAAATAAAAGATTTTTGTTTTTTATCTGCGTATAAGTAAAACCGACGTTAGAGAGGCTTTAAAGAAAATGAAGTGTAGAAAAGCTGTTGGACCTGATGATATTCCAATAGAGATGTGGAATGCTTAGGAGATGAAGGAATTTCTTGGCTTACTAAACTTTTTAATACTTTTTGAAAGACTAAAAAATGTCAGATCAGTGAGAATGAGTGTGTTAATTCCTATTTTTAAGAATAAAAGTGATGCACAGGAATGTTGCGAATTATAGAGGAATTAAGTTAATGTGTCATACTTTAAAACAATGGAGCGAGTTATTGGAGCATAGGTTGAGGCGTGATACTAAATGTTTTCTAAAATCAATTTTGGATTCATGCCGGGTAGGCCATCGATGGAAGCCATACATTTATTGAGAGGTTTAATGAGAATATATTAGAGAATAAGGAGGATCTACATATGATATTTATTGATTTAAAGAAAAAGCATATGATAAAGTTCCAAGAGAAGTGCTTTGGAGAGTTCTTGAAAAGAAATGAGTTAATATGCTTATATTCAAATCATTAAAGATATGTATGCAGGAGCTATTACTTGTGTCAAACACAAGGTGGTTTGACCAAAGTATTTTCCTATCTCGATTGGATTACATCAAGGATCAGCCTTAAGTCCATATCTTTTTGCTTTAGTCATGGATGTTCTCACTAGACATTTGCAAGAGGTAGTACCTTGGTGCATGCTTTTTGCTGATGATATTTTTCTTATTGATAAAACTAGAGATCTAAAACGGAAATATATGGAGTGTAAATTTTTAGTAGTAATGAGACCTAGTGAGGGGATTGTGACTTTGGGCGATCAAGTCATTAATAAGAGTACACGTTTTAGATATCTTGGATCTATTGTTCAGAGTGATGGTGAAATAGATGGGGCTTATTATCAGCAGAATTCAAGTTGGATGGTTGAAGTGGAGGAATGCATCGGGCTTGTTATGTGATAGAAATGTACCCTCAAACTTAAGGGAAAATTCTATAAGATGGTAGTGAGGCCTGCAAATGCTTTATGGTGTCGAATGTTGGCCTTTAAAAGAGAAACATAATACTAAGTTAAGTTGTGACAGAGATGAGGATGCCTCAGGTGGATGAGTGGCTTTACCCTTAGAGATAGGATACGAAATGAGCATATACGTGAAAAGGGTGAGTAGCTCCAAGTTAGAAAAGATAAGATTAGAGAAAGTCGCCTTAGATGGTTTGGTCACATTAAAACGGCGGTCTTGCGATGACCCGATTAGGAGAGTAGAGGTATTAGATTTGACTTATGTTAAGAAAGGTAGGGGTAGACCTAAAAAGACTTGGTTAGAAAATATTTAGAATGGACCTTTTCTTATTAGATTTTAAACGAGAATTTGACTTTTAATAGGACACACATGGAAAAAAGGATTCATGTAGCCGACCCCACGTAGTGGGATAAAGGCTTGATGTTGTTGTTATTGTTGATAAACTAGAGAGGGAGGTTGAAGGTAAACTTGATTGTGGAGATCAACTTCAGAGTCTAAAGGTTTTCGCTGAGTAGATCTAAAATTGAATATATGGAGTGTAATTTAGTGGAAATAGACCTAGTGAGGGGATTGTGACTTTGGGCGATCAAACCATTAATAAGAGTACACATTTTAGATATCTTGGATCTATTGTTCAGAGTGATGGTGAAATTGATGGTGATATTATCAGCAGGATTCAAGTTGGATGGTTGAAGTGGAGGAATGCATCGGGCTTATTGTGCGATAGAAAAGTCCCCTCAAATTTAAGAGAAAATTCTATAAGAATGTGGTGAGACCTGCAATGCTTTATGGTGCCGAATGTTGGCCATTAAAAGAGAAGCATAATACTAAGTTAAGTGTTCCAGAGATGAGGATGCTTAGGTGGATGAGTGGCTTGACCCTTAGAGATAGGATACGAAATGAGCATATACGTGAAAGGTTGGAGTAGCTCTAGTGGAAGATAAGATTAGAGAGAGTCGCCTTAGATGGTTTGGTCACATTAAACGGAGGCCTTCCAATAACCCGGTTAGGAAAGTTGAGGTATTAGATTTGGCTTATGTGAAAAAAGGTAGAGGTAGACCTAAAAAGACTTGGTTAGAAAATATTAGAAATGATATTTCTTTATTAGATTTAGATGAGAATTTGACTTTTAACCAGACACAATGGCGGAAAAGGATTCATGTAGCCGACCCCACATAATGGGACAAAGGCTTGATGTTGTTGTTGTTGAGAAATTATTAATTTGGATCTTTTAGGGTATAAATAAAATCCTTGAGACATGCAAAATAAATAATATGATTGAACAAAATTTCTATTTTCTCTCATTTCTTTTATTTTCTAATGGATTTGGATATTTTGCGTGCCATGCAAGTTTTGATGACAACTTCTAAAAGATACTTCTACTTGTATCGATGTGAAGCACAAAGGCCTAAATCTTTGATTGGTGACTTATATTCTTTGTTCTTTCATTTACATTATTTTGTGGTTATTTTGTGTGTGATAGATATCTTGTAAATTTGATGCATACTAGTTTTCATGTTTAGGGTATGAATCTTAATAGTTGTGAAATTTTTATATTCATTCATAGATTTTTTTTTTTAATGGAATTTCAGCTATTGACATATATTATTTTATCATTTGGAACAAATTAAATGTCTTTTTTTTTTTTTTTTTTTTTTTTTTTTTTTTTTTTTTTGACATCATAAGAGACAAATCTTTGCTTAAATTAAAAGTAAGAAAATGGTTATCTTTTGTGTGTTTCTTCGCTCATATTGTCCTAGATTTACATTAAGAACCCTTAGATCCTATGCAGTCTAGCCAGTCCTGCATCAAAAATCTTCCACTATTATCCACATTATGTGGAAAATAATTTTTTAAGTTTATGCTCAATTCGTCTAAATAAACAAGGAAACTTGTCACCATATTAGCAGTAGCCATATTTTGTTTATATTTAATCATAAAACTACCCCTTCATTACTGAATGAGGAAGATAACAATCACAATCCCTCCCCACCATGATCTCTTGTCCAGCATTCCTGTTACCATGTAATCCCTCACTCACCCATGTAACTATTGTTGTATCATTCACAGCCACAATCCATCACAAACATGCAATCACAGTTATCCCAACTAAATTAAAAAAAAAAATGGTCAACAAGCTTTAGGTTTAGCAACTAGCTATGAATTGGTTAGGTTTTGCATCCAAATCAATGGATTCATGCTTGGGTTGAATCCGATCATGGTTGGATTCATGCACGGCTACTTGGGTTGTTACTTATTAGCTATGTCAATAAAGAAATACTGCGTTTGCTATTTATTCCTACAAAATATGAACTAAGTAATGCATCACAATTTAAAGTACAATCTTACAGTTCCTACTTCCGTTCGTAAGTTTGGTAAGAGCATAAGCTTTTTTCCAAATAAACAGCGGAGAATAATCCCTGCTCAATAAAGGAAATTTCCATCCTCATAGGCAAACTAAACGAACCTTCCCTCAGAAGCATCCATAACTACATCGGAAGATATCCCCGTACCAATATTCTGGACTGCCAACGACCTCCATTTTTCCGAAAATTATAAAGAAACCACCAGAGGCAAAAAAATAAAAATAAAAAATAATTAATTGCAAGCAGGATAAATGAAATCTACAACTCCCACCAAAGTAAGCAATAGAGAGGAAAGGCTGAGGGAAAAAAAGATTCAGCGACAACAAGCAGAAGCAGTCAATCTATAAGGGAAAAACACCTAGCATTTTGCAAGAGAAGCGAGTCCAGCCTTTCTCATTACTTCTTCGCTAATTCATCACTATCATTTGGCTCAGACTCAAACTATGCGACTGTTTAGCTGAAAGATTATTAACCAGAATTTAGATTACATCTTAACAAAAAGCTTTTTTAACTCACGTAAACTCTACTATCCTTTTAAATCCTATTTTCCTACTATTTTAGATTACATCCCTAATTTAACAATCCTAATAATGTAGGATTTAAAAGATTTGCAGTCTTTTTCTTCACAGTACATCTTAATATCTACAAAATAGTTCACTAGGATTTAATCAGATTGAACTAATACCATTCCAAACAGTTTTCAAAGTTTAAAATCCCCAAAATTTACTAAATATGGAATTAAAAGAGTCACTAAACCCTATTTGTAGCCAAACAGACCACATAAATTCGATATCATGTAAAAAAAAAATTCGATATCATGCAAAAAAGAGAGGCATCGGATCCCCTGACGGTAACACCAGAAAATTCCCAAATTTGGTATAGGATTCGAGTCTGGTTAGAAGAAAGATTCAGTTATTAACTATTAACCAGCTTCCAGAGAGTGACTGGAAACTGAGAAAGGGCCATGACATGATTAAAACCAATAGAAAAAACTAAGAAAGCGAATATTCTTCTATAGAACGCATCGAACAGGCATTGAGTTTCGAAAGAACGGTTGCCTACCTTATGAAAACTATGGGGTCGAGAAGAATCGGAGCTCGAATGCTTAGGAATAGACGCAAGAGCTGGAATGAAGGAGACGAAAAAGAAGGCGGCGAGTAGGAATTGAAGGTAGAGCAATGCGATTCCTCGGGACGCCATGACCAATTAGCGCGGGCGTTTGTGCCGCTCCGCCACTCTGAATTCGGCCAATTTTTAATAAGAGCGTCAGGCTTCTCATCTTCCCTCAAGAAATTTTGATCTTATATTTATAAATTTAAAATAAATCCCCATGACTATTTTGGACTTTCTTATTACCTTTGCCTTTCAGTTCAAATAGCCGATAGAAATCATAGAAGCATAAACGAGTCTAGTTAAGGGCAAATTATTGGGTCAGGTGATCGAAATCATCTCTCCGTTCGGTCGCCAATAGAAATGCGACATCTGTTAGGCGTTTTTTTAATTTAATATGTTTGCTTTATGTCTTGTCAAAGTTAGCGACCCTACTCGATAATGCATTTCATTTGAATTCCAGAAAATAAAGAATGGAAACGCCGCGCATTTTATTTTCAAGCGACATTTTCACTGTTACTCCAGCTCTGGTAAGCGCTCTCGGATTCCTCCAATACCTTCGGTTCTGCATTAGCTTATTCCTGCCCGAGGTAGACGACGAGACTGTAGAAGATCATCAATCAGGAAGAGGTATGGTTGCGCCTAACTTGCGCTTTACTTGCGCTTTCGTTGTGTTTAAGGGTAATGTAAAATTTTAGGGTTTGGTTTAGTTATAATTTTTGCATTGTTTGTTTAATGTAATGTACTGTTAAAATGTTTATTTTCTGGTTTTTCACGCTTCTTCTCTTCGTAAATGGGCGAAGCTAAGGATACGAAAGGTTTACGCTTTCTGCTAAATTTTATGGTTTAGTAATAGTATTATAACTAGCATATATGTTCAATGTGGTGTTCAATTTTTATTTTTTCTTAATTTAAACCTTCTTTTAAGCTAATTAATTATGAAATGTATTGTTGCGCTAAGGTTGCGCTAAGGTTGCGCTATGGTTGCGCTAAGGTTGCTCTAATGTTGCGCTAATGTTGCGCTATAGTTGCGCTATAGTTGCGCTATAGTTGCGCAATGGTTGCGCTTTAGTTATGGTTGCGATATAGTTCTGATTTTTTATTTTTTTTTGTTATAGATGAGGACGCCGTATCAAAGGCCAGTAACATCTAGATGCTATGTTACTTCTTTTCGAAAACATTGTGATGCTTTTGTCGAGATCATTGATGATGAAGTGGAGCAAACATTAAAGAATCTGAACATTCATTAATTTTTGAGGTTCCCCGCATTCCAGCAGTGTATACCACTTCTTTTTTAGGTTCTCAAATTTTGGAGTCCTGCTGATGAAGGCTTCATCATCCTCGGTCATATTCTGAAATTCACTTCTGACGAGGTTGCTTTGTTGATAGGTAATATTTTGAATATGAAATTTTTTATAGCTATATGTTTTTTTAACTTTAACAACTGAAATTTTCTGACAGGTTTGCCAAACAGAGGCATTGATATCAAATGGAGGATTGATCCTATAAATGGACCTCTGTCAACTGAAATTAAAACAGAAATATCAAAATTAGACAGATTATCTGATAATGCTACAAAAATAAAGACCTTTATTATGTTTTTGTTATCTAACATTTTCTTTCCACTAAATAGTCATAAAACCCCTAAAAGGCTCACATCTATTGTAAATAATTTAAGTGAGTTCACTTCCATTAATTGGGCTTCATGCTTAAGGAACTTCATGGTTGGGGAGTTCAACACAATTTTTGAGAAGTTTAAACTCCAAAGACCATTGGGTTACATCAATGGTTTTTTTCCTCTTCTACTGGTAAGTTTCCACTCCTACTGGTTATTGTACATGTATAATGCTTTTTATTTAATGTTAACTTATAAATTTTTATGTTTTGCATTATACAGATTTGGTTTTTGGAACATTTTTCTTTGAATAAACCATCCGATCCAGAAATAAGACCGCGTTTTCTGATATGGGAGGTGTATACAGAATTATACTTTACACAAGACAACACAGCAAAATTATTTAAATTTTTAAAGAAAAGTGGGGTAATTTTTTATACACGATGCAAATTATGCTGAGGTTGCGCTATGGTTGAGCTAAGGTTGCGCTATGGTTGCGCTATGGTTGCGCTATGATTGCGCTATGGTTGCGCTACGGTTGCGCTATGGTTGCTCTAAGGTTGCGCTTTAATAATTTTTTTTGTTTTTTGCAGATTTTTGTTTGTCTTGAGAATATTAGCAATGAGGAGGCCGAAAAATACGGGGCTGCCATTATTGCCATACAAAACTTGGAAACCGGTTCAGGTCATGAACCACAGAAATTGTAGTCACCCCAGAAAATTAAGGCTTCCCCAAGAAAAAAACTTGAGACGTTGCGCTATGGTTGCGCTATGTTTTGAAATATTTGAGAAGATGTTGAATAAAATTCAAGAAAATCTGGGAGCTAGACTGGATCGTGTTGAAGATATTGTGGAGAAACTTCAGGCAGATCAAACTCCTAGGAGTACAAATTTATTGAATTTCAAATGCAGTGTGATCACAATCCAGAGAAGCCGCATATATCTAGTTCTACCTCCAGCTTCCAATCAGTGAAAAATACAGCTTTGCATCCTTCAGAACAACCACCAATACAAGATATTCCTCCACCTCCACCATTGGCCAAAGAACTTCTTCCACAACCACCAATACCTCCACCTCCACCATTGGCCGAAGAACTTCTTCCACAACCACCAATACTTTCACCTCCACCATTGGACAAAGAACTTCTTCCACAACCAATACAAGATGTTCCTCCACCACCACCATCGGCCAAAGAAAATGTGCCACTGCCAAAAGATAGTTCATTAAAGCACATGATTCAAAAAAGAAAAATAGAAGATGATGAAAAAGTAGAGAGTTCATAAAAAAAATCATAACATATGTAAAAAAGAAGAACAAAGAGGTTATCTCGGTTGATAATATAATAATTGAGCCACAGCCTACATTGGAAATTATGGATTATCCAGGGAAGCCTTTTCTAACAGAGCATAAACAAAAATTTATGAATGAATGTTTCAGAAAATTTAATAGAAAGTAAGTTTACTTGCGCTAAGGTTGCGCTAAGGTTGCGATATGGTTGCGCTATGGTTGCGCTATGGTTACGCTATGGTTGAGCTATGGATGCGTTATTGTTGCGCTATGGTTGCGCTATGGTTGCGATATGGTTGCGTTTTAACATTAAATTTTTCTTTGTTTTTGTAGGAAAAACATAATATTTGCATCTGGAAACATAGAGATAAAAATATCAGATATTGACATTCTGCTCACAAATGATTGGTTAGGAAATAACCATGTTGATGCTTTTGCTTTCTTCTTACTAGAGCAGAGTAGGTTAATGGCAGAAAAATTTCGACGTTACTTGTACGTTTCTCCATTGTACAGGGTAAGTATAAATAATATCTTAATCTTTTTTTTCACGTTTGTTTTTCCTTATAGAATTGAATTATTGCAGGTATACAAGTCCTACAATCAAGAGTATCAAATTTTTATCCAACCCATTAATCCAATTTCAGTTATAGAAAGCAAACTTATTGTTCAACCCATAATTTTTGCAAAACATTAGGTTCTTCTTATAGGAAAATTAAGGGAGAAAGTCTGGAAAATGTATGATTCATTACCAAATGTATACAAGTCCTACAATCAAGAGTATCAAATTTTTATCCAACCCATTAATCCAATTTCAGTTATAGAAAGCAAACTTATTGTTCAACCCATAATTTTTGCAAAACATTAGGTTCTTCTTATAGGAAAATTAAGGGAGAAAGTCTGGAAAATGTATGATTCATTACCAAATTCTGAACACAAGAATATTTGTCATACAGTTGTAAGTGCAATTCATATTGTAAGTTAAATCCATAATACTATGTTTATATACATAATAAATTTTTAAAATGTTTTATTTGTACAGATAAAGTATTTGCACGAGGACACCATAGGATG